AGTTGTGGCAGCCTTTTTACCTTTTTTCTGAGGGATGATAACCTCTTCTCCACTGCTATCATCTTCTTCATCTTCTGACATTTCCTCATCATCTTCACTGTCTTCTTCTACCTCCTTTGGAGGAGGAGCCATTTTTGGGGGGGTCACCTTGATTTTTACCAGCCATAGCGAGCTTCACCATGAAGGCGGCTTACGATAGCAGAGTGTGTGGCGGGCAGGGGGTGCAGATGAGTCTTGAGGAACTCCAGCGACACTGATGGCGGCTGCGAGCACTGAAGATCCTGGAGCGCGTACACTCGGCGGCCAGCTACAGCTCGAGACTGAGGCCTAAATTAAAGATTTCTAAGCATACATTTGTAATCGTAGGTTAAAGACAGTTTGCATTAAATTCAGATAGACATTTTAGACAATTAGGTGGAGATTACCCTTGAAAACTACAAAGATGTAGCAATGCTGTGGTATAAACTCGAGCTCTGAGCCCAGATTATCTGAGTCCACTTTTTTATACCACTTCCAAGCTTCTTGGCCTTGGGAAAGTTTTTTTCCATTCCCTAGTTTCTTCCTTAGTAAATGGAGGGTAACAATAGCAACAACAACAAAAATACCAGTGCTTATTTAAAGAACTGTTATGAGGATTGATGAAGATAATCTTTAGTAATGTTTACTGCCTGTCACATAATGAGTTCTGTATTAATAATATCCATTATTCAATTATTCATTCAAAAAAGGATGTTTACAATAGTGTGACGTTGTGCTAGGCTTAGGAATGTAATGACATGTAAAAGTTACAGTGTGGAGGCAGATAGTGATGCGGTGATAAAACACGAAGCTCCATGAGGCTGACTCATGTGGTGAGTCATATCTCCAGACCTCTCTGAGTAAGTTAGACACACATAAACCCATGACTTGAACTGGCTGAGGCTGGGGGTGGAATGGGGTGTCATTACTCTGTTGGAGGTGCTGTCAGTCTCTCTCTTTCTCAATGGAAGAGATAAATGAACTTTAAAAATGAAAGAAAGAAAGAAAGAAAGAAAGGAGGGAGGGAGGGAGGGAGGAAGGAAAGGAGGA